ACTTCAGGGTGATCAAGCCCATGCTGTGACTGAGATCAAGGTGCGCTATATCAATAGAAGTTGGTGGCTTTACTAATTTATAGAAATTGTCTTGAAGACTGCTGTTCGGCGGCCGAGACGTTGGCCCAAAAGAGCAATTCAGTCTTAACAAGGCGTGAAGACACAGCGATAATAAGAAGATTTTATTTAGTGGCGGTAAAAAAAAGTGAAAACGACAAAACAAATAGCCAGTCAGGTAACCGAAGTCCACCAGCATTTACTCACTGTAACTTTGGTACTTCTTAGTGTTCCCTATGCTTTTCGTGTAAGTAAATAATTATTTTTAAAGCGCTACGAATTTCCTGTTAATATTTATTGGAATCTCGAAAGCGAAAAAATTAAGACGCGCAAGATTTGGGACACTAAAACCGGAGAAGTTATAACCGTCGAAAGTCTTTTTCAAAGAATATTGGAAATTTCAGGCACAGCGCCAATTCTTCCACTAACTACCGTACCTTGGCAACCTGCGTCGTAGGTCCATTCTACCCCCGTGCGCGTCGCGGTCGGCAATGCCTCGATTTTTTCTAAGTCCGGGTGTTCACTCGGACTTTGTCTCTGCGCCGCCGCATCACAGCGCCCACTGCCCCAGCGGCTAAGTCCTGGCCGACTACTATATCACCGGCAATCCCACTTATCCTTTTCAGTCATCGATCTCCCATAGGATTATGACCACCAATACGATCCGAAGTGGCCATATTCTTTTTGAAATTGTTCATTTATTCATTGTAATTTGACTGGTTTTTGTCCAGTGTATGACCTTGCCTCTGGTCAGCGCCTCTTCGTTACACTGGCCGTGCCTGGTGCGATCTTTTTTGTACTACTACAGCTGTACCATAAATCTACGAAGTCTGTAATGTTGAGTCGTTCTTTATATCTTTTCCTGAGTCAGTTCTCAATGGGAAAACGTTCACAACTGGTGACTCCAATTAGGACTTCTAGGAAATACCTCACAAGACAGCTCATTCTTCGAGAAGTTCACCCTTTCGGTCGGTGATCTGGCCCGGTCTCGTACTGTCTTGGTAAGAACCATCGCATTGATTGGTTTCCTGCACAAAAACAGCGCGGTTTTCTTGGAACAACAACGACGTCAGCAGATTGCTTGAATGAACCAGAATGGTCTTTGAAAGGCTAGAGTACAGTATTCACTCCCGGAAGAAGTACTATTGTAGTCGACTTAGGGGGTTCTCAGTTCGGGTATTTGTTCCTGGACCAGTAAAGGTCTTAGCTAAGCATCGTGGGAGGCAATTGAGGACTCCTAATAGCCCAATGATCTGCGTGAACGCCGTAGCGTAAGCATAATCAATACGTGGACGCAGGAGCTCGCTATAGCGCGGACTGCGCCTACGAAGCAAAGGCTGGCTTTACTTATTGATCGCACTCATTTCTTATGATTCGACGTGAATATGCACCAATTGGCGCTGGAGCACTGATTTGTAACGGTCCACATACTCGTCAGCTGAGCGACTAAACTCATAGACTTTCAAGCCACGTATATGACGGAAAATTCATAGCATGGGACTAAATACCTGGAACATGCTCTGGTGTTGAACCTTTTTCCTTGACTTTTATATAGTGTCAGTTTTCCTGGTCATCTTTGTTTGTGAAGGACTGCACGTCCAATAGAGAACAGGGCGGTTTTCTAATCTTTCCCTCACGGTGGTCTTTTGAAGGAGGACCACGCAAAATATATGAACTTGACGACCTATTACTAATTACTCCCTTTGAAATGAACCCTACATTCCGAGTATCATGGCCCAGACTTGTCAAAAGAAAACACGCCTAATCTAAATGGTCCTAAAGAGCACATTTAGCGCTTGAACACCGATTATGCCTCTTCTGGCGTCTAACTCGTTGGACATTTTGTCGCGATGACTGTTCAATATTCTGATAACCAACATGACATCCTTGACGTCCTGGGTACAGCAGCATTGTGTGAAACACAGGGGGTCCGGGGTCGTATTTGATGGTTGTTGGGAGGGGTCGTAGGTGCCTTTGAGAGAAGTCTGTCGCATCAGGAAAAAATTTTCCAAGGTTGTTGACTTTTCACGGTTTGTCCGTGTTTTTTCCGTTTCACACTGGCTATTTACTTCTGGGGCGGCGCGGCCCCCTCATCCACCATTTCCCCCTCCGGCGGAGTTTCTTTGGTATAAAACTGAAGTGTGGGATTTGGAAAAGAAAGAAAAAACTGGTAGGAAGCTGGAAACTTGTAGGACTTGTAGGAAAGTGGTAGGTGGGTTTTGGGGAAGGGGAGAGGGGGTTGTCTTACCGAGACCCTGCTTTAGGTGGGGAGGGGTCGTACCGAAACCCTCCTTCGAGGGGGAGTCGTAGTGACGCCATCATTTCACAGATCGCGATGCTGTACCCTGTTGACAGCCGAATTGGGACGATCGCCTGCGATGCCCGCTTGGGTTCATGCTTGGGCCTATGCTGAGCCGCAATTAAAAAGTTACAGTTGAAGGGCCGTGCTCGGCGCGTCTATAATTTTTTTTTCAGTAGCCAAGGCTGTGGTTCAGAGTGAGTCAGACTTCGTTATTTGAGAACAGATGGACCAACTCACTGAAGATGATAAACCGACCACCGGACTCGGATTTCATCCTAAAGTCAGCTATCCATCTGTGCTATAACCTCCCAGTTGTGTGATGTGGAGATTAGGTCAGCCTCTCATATAAAGTTACAGCTGGATTAAAGACGAACTCCGCAATTGCATATTCTGGATAACGGTGTTCAATTACAAATCTTCAGCCGCTAAGTGACTGGGCGACCTTTGAACTTGCTTCTTTTATGCCAGCAAAGCGATACCCTACAGCCCTTGGCCCACTAATCGTTTCTCCGCCTCATCCGGTGGTGCGCAAATACGGTGTAAAAACAGAACCACCTTTAGGTCACGATGGGCGGAACAACCAAGCAGGCGTCAGAGCTGCCACCTACAGAAGCAGCAGTGTCTTCGCTACTCACTGCGAATCCGCGAAAGTAGGATAATCTCAGAGACTGCGAATACTTGTGCACGAAAGGACGCCTATGAATTGCTTGAGCACGGGGATAGTCTCTGAGGACGTAAACATTAGTCTGTATGAAGTCACGTAGTAATGCCATCAAACACCCGTGTAATTGCGTACTCAGTGTCACTACCGTATTCTTCTCGTTTATAAACAGGATAAGTTTCTGAAAGTTGTCACCAGCTCAGGGCGGAGATCATGTTGAACTTGTGCTAACAGGTTTGGCCCGGTATTTCCGGGCCATGACCTAGTTCTAGCGTCACTCCTGACACCCGTCCGCCATGCACTCATGTAATTGACAGTGTGCTGGTGCCAGTGCAAGGGTTGAGAACAAGTGTGCCATTAAGTTCGAAGTTGTGACCTGTTTTGAAATTGTTCTGCGACCGCTCACTCAGTTATAAGCATTCTGATGCCACTTAGGGATCCTACTACTTCAGTTTCTAGATCATGTCGTCACATCGCGGCATAGCTAATTGAGATATAAAGAGGTTCATGACTCAAGTAGATGGTGAAATTCGTGATAGAGCCCATCTTACAAGTTTTCGACTATGATCGTTCCGTCTTAGAGTGCGCCACGTAGTGTATTTCTGTTCAGAATTGTAGTGGCTCACTGAATGCGATTTGGCCCCTGTAGACACTTGTGGGGTCAGTCGATGTGCGATACAGTGCTTTTATCTTAACACTCCGATCATGCGCTCGGTAGGCGGCGCCAGTTGCCACTACACCACCTCCAAACCGAATGTTAATATTCCATTGATTTAGCTTTCGCAACTTGTTATCATATCTCTGCTCTATCCTCTTCAGTGTACTTTTTCTTCGTTCTTTTTTTGTGGAGTGTGCTCCAATTTCTAACTAACCCTTGGGCTATTTCTAGCCTTCGCTTCGCCAAGTGCTCGACCTGCTTAGTCAAACCTTATGGCTGACGTGGTTTCAACGCCTATACTGACTGACAACCAAAACAAATCGGAGTTATGTAGCGGTGACAGGTTGGTGTTGGTCGATATAAGGGTATAGTTAACGACATGCGATGCGGGGTATCGCACAAAAACTAGCACGGTCTCCCCTAGCTAGACAAAGCGCTGCAGCATTGTCACATTGAAAGGATTGGGTCCTGGCGCGATGAATCCGTCTCGT